CAGTGTCATTTACAAGAGTATACGCATCCCATCAATCATTTAATTGAGATCGATTAAGGTGATTAGGCAAACATAAGTGAGTTACATGTTGCCCCTATCACCTTAGATCATCACCAGGCGTAGGTCGCGCCACCTTGCGGGATAGGAGGGACAACTCCCCTAGCAGGGTTCCAAGGGGCATACCCTTTTGGTAAAAGCACCTTGAAATTGCCTAAGTATATAAGTTTGGATAGTGCACTCAGACTTAAGAAACGTGGATCTAGACTTAGGAACTTGACTAAGTCCTACTCTGAATCAATGGGGATAGAAAGCTAAACCGTCTGTTCAAACTTATGATTTGTGTAAATTGACAAAGTTCTAACTCTGAACCATTGGAGTCAGAAATTTGAACCTTTTGTTTAGACTTTTGGTTTGTGAAAAATTCACCAAGTCTTTAGCTCTGAATTGTAGAGTCAGACTTAGTGTCTTTGCTATCAGAATTAGTCCCAACTGAAGTTAGATTACGATTTTTGAGCTCTGATTCAGTTGTAACTGCTCCTCAATCTTATCCATTAATGGTTAATAACCATTTACCTGCCCTGTGATTGTTGATCTCTCATATAAATACATAAAAACTTGATTTGATAAATATAAATATATATATATACACACACACACACACACACACACATACACGAAATCAATGTCTTATTTCATCTATGTAATTTCTATATCTCGATACTAATTTCATGATAACCTAAGGCATTAGTTTGCAATTTCTGAGAGCTTGTAACTTTTTTTCCTGATGAAAAAATCTACATCAAAGCTCATGACTAGTGATATGGGTGTTCAAAAAACCGTTGAACCAAATAAAAGTGAACCAAAAAAGGTGTAAGTGTACAATGCACTTCGCTTTTGCTTCGGGAACTTGGCAATCTGCTTTATATGGTTGGTTCTAGTGTTTGATACTTCAAAAAGAGAACATTTATTCACGAGAGAGTGTGAGAGTTACAATAACGTGAAAACAACGTGTTTTCATGAGAATATGAGGTGAGAACGTTTATGAGTTTTTCGATTGGTTGTTTTTTTTTTTCCTGATCTAAATATTAAAAAACACAGATCTTCAACGACCTTGAATTAATGGTGGATAAAACACACACACACACACTTCTTTTCATCTACCGTAATCAACCTTCCTCTTTACTTATAGTTATTTTCAAGAACTTTTACATAACTCCAGTCACTGACGGAACCATAAATTTTTTCAAACAATACCACCGTTTGACCATAAGAAAAAAATATAGGAATTTTTTTTCAAACAGTGACATCATTTGACTATAAGAAACAAATATACATAATTTTTTTTTCAAATGGTGATACCATTTGACTAAGAAAATGATACTAACAAGATTCGAACTTGGCTCTGGGTGAAATAAAAGCCTTGCAAACCAACTCTACCAAATAAAACTTGTTCTCATTGTAGTTTCAATATACATACGGTGTCACACATCAAATTAATACGGTTGCATGTTTCACGTACCTAAATTTTTTTACCCTTTGACAGATGAATAATATGATGACACGTGCCACCGTATGCTCTACTATAAACCCCTAACTGCCTCCTTCCCTTGTGAAGTTGGAAGACCCTCTAGAATTTTTTTTTTCCAAATAATTTCTAGTACTTCTCATCATCAAAGCTTACATTTTTATGCTTATGCGTACAAAACAAATTTACGTCAGAAATATGTTAGTCTTTTTTTTGGCCATTCTTGGTGTACGTAACACCAAGTTCACCAAGTTGAAGGTATATTTACACTTTCACACTTTTTTATAGTTGAGCTTTTATGTGCAGAAAGACAAGATAAAAACTATCTTGTTCAACAAGATTCATTTGATCGCTGAACACTGGAATGACGCTGAAAGTCTCTTCAATGTTCGTTGAATCTTGAGTAGATTTCACACTTGTGTAGACGAACCTAACATGTTGAAAACTTTTTTCAAAGTTTATTGACTTTCAATATTCTCTCTTTTTTATATGTTAAAACATATTACTAATAGTTTTGTTAAGGCTAAAATAAACCTTAAATACCAGGTAAGTGTTTACGGGTAAAATTTAACAGTATTATTTACTTATCGGGTAAAATTTTAGTCCATCAAAACGACATCGTATGCAACAATTTACCCGGTAAGCGCTTACCGTGGTAAGAGTCGTCGCCCTCACTTACCGGGTAAGACTATTGGTCCTTGTCTCACTCTTACCTGGTAAGATTCTTGGCATTTACCATATTCATGCGATGAACACGTGAAGTAAAGTTACTTGGTAAGCGCTTACCCGGGTAAACGTTTGGTAAACAACCCCTTACTCTAAACATTTTCATGTTAAACGTACTTAACATATTTTTAACTAATTTAAAAAAAATGTGAATCACAATTAATTATAGAGTGAATTACATTTTTGGTCCTCATAGTTTGTCCAAAGATTGATTTGTCTCCCCTAACGATTGTTAACTGACGATATTAACTTCCTGTATCTTGAGTGTTATGAAATTGAAAAGTTAGGGGGTGTTTGAGATTGCTTATTTAAAACAACTTATGTTTTTTTTTTTTGTAAAAATGCTTATTAACTTATGTGGTACCAAAGTTAAATAAAACATGGTTAAAAATTGTAAACTGGTAATAAACAGTTTTTCATAAGTCATGAATGATTAACTTATCAAAAACAGCTTATTACCGATTTGGCACCGGTATAAACAGTTTCTTTTTCTTATCTAAACACCAAAAAATAATCTAAACACCAAAAAATAACTTATCACTGGTGCCAAACTGAAATAAATTAAAAAACAGCTTTTATAAGCAATCCCAAACACCCCCTTAAAATCCATTGGAAAAAGTTCAAAAAAACCCAATGGACTTTACTGTTTGGAACGATTAAGTCCTTAAACAATTTTTTGGAACAAATAAATCCTTGGACATTTTAGAACTTGTTAAATAAGTCATTGGACATTACAAAACCTGTTAAATAAATCCTTGGACTTTCTAAAATCTGTTAAATACATTTTGTTAGTGGAAAAAATTCGAAAAAACCAATGAACTTTTATATTTTGAACGATCAAGTCCTTAAACATTTTTTGAACGAAAAAAGTACTTACATTTTATAAAAAAACAAATATATCATTCTCATTGCTTTTCACAAAACATATAAAAGTTGTATCCAAAGCATAATAATCTGCATACAAATTTTGGACATAATTTTACCAAAAGTTAAACCAAAATATATACCAAAAATTGAACCAAAATATGTAACAAAAGTTGCGCCAAGAAAATACTAACAATTGCGCCAAATATACTAAAAGTTGTGTCAAAAAATACCATAAGTTACGCCAAAATATACCAAAAGTTGCGCTAGAATATACCAAAGTAATGCCTAATCTATGTTAAGGTCATGTATGAACTATTCTTCATTTACATCATTAATTTCTGGTGGAGATATAGCCATTTGATTTTATTGTAACCCTTCTTGATGTCTAACAACATCATCACTTTCATGTTGTTCTTCATCACCAACAGTAGTATCACCTTCATCACAGTCTTCATCGTTAACAACAGCCTCTCTTGAAATTGAATACGGTAGGATGCCTTCGGGCCATGCTAGTTGTGGCACACTTGAGGATGTCTTTAAAGATGAAGATAAAGTGTAAGCAATAGTCATAAAAAAATGTTACTTGAATCTGAAAAATAAGTGTTTACCGGTAAAATTTAACACTATTATTTACTTACCGGGTAAGATTTTAGTCCATCAAAACGACATCGTATGCAACAATTTACCCGGTAAGCGCTTACCGTGGTAAGAGTCGTCGCTCTCACTTACCGAGTAAGACTCTTGGTCCTTGTCTCGCTCTTACCTGGTAAGATTCTTGGCATTTACCATATTAACACATGAAGTAAAGTTACTTGGTAAGCACTTACCCGGGTAAGCGTTTGATAAACGACCCCTAAGTCTAGTTTCATCTGTTTACCAAGTGCATCCTAATGCCTTGTTATTTATTCATCACAACAGGGACCATAGGAGCCGATGATTGAAAAAGGTACATGTTTTGAATTATATGGCCATTGTGAGCAGTATTGATATGGGCTAGCACTAACCAAATAATATTAGATAGCCTGCGAATTTTATAATCTAAGGCCAAAAAGTTCAAGCTTTTGATATACGTCAAACAAACCACAAGGTTAAACCTTTAAAGTCTTGGAATTTAAAATCTTACGCTATGAGCCACCATTGGATCAAAGAAGAAACACTAGCGGAAATCTCATAAATTGGCATGTTTTTCTTACCGGGATACAGTTAGAGGTGGTGTGGAGACAGGGGCGGCGACGGGGTGGTGCGGCGGCGATGAGCGGAGACAGGGGCGTCGACGGGGGTGGTGCGGTGGCGATGGGGAGAGGGAGACGATGGTGTGTGGGCGCGGCCAGAGGGAGACGAGAAGGAGACGGGCGGTGGTGAAGACGGACGAGAGGGAGAAGATGAGGAAGATGGGTAAGTCATTTTTTAGGTTTTTTTTTATAATTTAAGGTTTACCTTCTGTTCAGTTTGTAAGTTACATTTCTATTCAGTTTTTAAGTTACATTTTTTAAGAATGAGGATTTATTTAACATGTTTTAAAAAAGTTTAAGGAGTTATTAAATAGATTCTAGAATATCTAATGATTTATTTGTTTTAAATAATTGTCCAAGAACTTAATTGTTTTAGACAGTAAAATCTATTGGGTTTTTCTAGACTTTTCCCAAATCCATTCGAATAGACAATTTGTATTTGTTTTAGGGACGAGATCTAAAATTTGAACATACCACAAGGACTAAAAGTGTTATAATCGACTCTATCTTAAATCAATTGTCATCATTAGTTTCAAATTGCCCCCTTGTTTATATCACTTTGCCCATTTCCCCCCTATAATTTAGAAGTCCTGAAGCAATCTGTTCTTTACCTCTGGTCTCCCCCAACATCGTGACGGCATAAAAAACCCTCCAAAACCCTCAAACCAAGTCTGAAGAACACAAAAATACACACACTCGTTCTGTTGATCCGAATCTGTAATTGATTTCAAGAAAATGGGGAAGATACCACCATCACTCCGAACCGGTAAGAACCTAGGGTTACCAATTCGATCTGTAGTTAAAAATGTTCGATCATCCCCCCAGGAAGCAGAATCAGGATTAGAATCAAAATCCTCCGCCCATCATAGCCGTAGAAAACCTAAATTAATCACTGAAAAACCACCAAAATTCATCAACGGCGCCACCAGCCACCCATCACCAGCGCCGCCCATAACCTTTACTTCCCCTGACATCTCCGCTGCCAAAACCCTATTCAACTCCCTCGTTGCCACCACCAGATCTTCATTGTTAATCAACAATAGACTTTGCAACGCGATCCTCCAATCTTTCTCCTCTGTTTCTTCGAACATTCAAGATTCAATCGTTTTACTCAATCACATGACGAAAACCTACCCTTCATTCTCCCCTGATAAGTTCAGTTACCATATCCTCCTATGCCAGTCCTGCAAAAAGCCCGATTCGGATCTTTCCAATGTCAATCAAACCCTAGACCTCATGGCCTCAAACGGATGTGAACCCGATAAGGTCACCACAGACATTGCGGTTCGAACTCTTTGCAGCACTGGGCACGAAGAACACGCGATTGAACTGATCAAGAAGCTATCCCAGGTTCAGTTCACAAAACCCGATACCTATACTTACAATTTTCTGGTAAAAAGATTGGTAAGGACTCGAACTTTGAGCAGTGTGAGTTTATTTATTAAGGAAATGAAAGAGGGGTTTCATGTAAACCCCGATTTAGTGACTTACACTATTTTGATTGACAATGTTTGTAACGGGAAGAATTTACGTGAGGCAATGCGGTTGTTGGATGTTTTAAAAGAGGAAGGGTTTAAGCCGGATTGTTACGTTTATAATACGATTATGAAAGGGTATTGTATGCTGAGTCATGGAGGTGAGGTCTTGAGGGTTTACAAGAAGATGATTGAGGAAGAAATAGAACCTGATTTAGTCACTTATAACACTTTGATTTACGGGTTGTCGAAATCGGGCAAGGTTAAAGAGGCTATTAAGTTTCTACATGAGATGGCGAAAATGGGTCATTTTCCTGATGTGGTTACCTACACTTCATTGATGAATGGGTTGTGCAGAGAGGGTAATGCACTTGGTGCAGTAGAATTGTTGGGGGAAATGGAGAATAAAGGATGTGATCCAAATGAGTGCACATATAACACTTTGCTTCATGGGTTGTGTAAGGCTAGGCAGTTGGATAAAGGGGTTGAATTATATGGGGTAATGAAGGAGAATGATATGAAACTTGAGTCAGGGTCGTATGGGACCTTTTTGAGGGCGCTTTGTAGGAACAATCGAGTTGCAGAGGCGTATGAAGTGTTTGATTATGCTATAGAGAGCAAGAGCTTGACGGATGTTACTGCTTATTCGACATTAGAGAGCACCCTTAAGTGGCTGAAGAAAGCTAAAGAGCAAGGCCTTGCTGTTTGATAATCGGAGAGGTATGCCTCTATATCTTTATGTCTTCTTATTTATATGTATTCATTATCACAATTAGTGGGTGACTTTATCTTGTTTTTCCTAAAGTTTTCCCTTATTCCCCTGATTCCCATATGGCTGTGTCTGCTGAAAGTATTATTACTTAGCATATAAAAAAAGAAAGCGAATAGCCGCCAAAGTTGTTAAAGGCTCAAGGCGCACTTAGGCACAACCGGGTCCCGAGCATAGGCGCGAGGAGCAGGCGTGAGGCGCATCTTATCAATACTCACACACACAGAGGCACGCTCACAAACACAGTTGCACACAACAAGTCTCCAATGCAGCAACCAACAATACTTGGATAGAGGCGGAAGGGTTTAAAGCTTGAGGCTTGAAGTTCTAAGGACTTGGTATTTAATATTAGGGTTCGACTTATGTCATCTATTTAGTAACACTTTTTTTAAGAAATCTAGGAGATGAGAAGATGAGAAAACTTATTTAATCTTAGGGTTTAACTCGGTATTTAGTAACTCTTTATGAGGCGCACATAGTCCCACAAGGCGCCAGCCAAGGTGCAGTGCCTTAGTGAGCCTCGTGAATATGCTGAGCCTCAACTTGGAAAAAGCCCAAGACCTTGAGCCTTATGAGCCTCAGAGCCTAGCACGCCTATTGCCACATTGATTGGCTGCAAATAATCCTCCCTCAAGGTTCATCGTCTAACGTCTACTTGTTTGTTTAATGCCAAACATTAAGAGCGTCTTAGCACACAACAATCTTTATTTTGTCCCATTGAAAAGACATTTGATCAATAGTTTATGTTATTTAAATTGCCACAAGGGGTGGAGGGAACCGTTCTTATGGTCTTTGTTTCCTTTTAGGACATGACTCAAATAGAAGCCAGGTCTGCTTAGTGATGCTTGATAACAATTTACATTTAGGTTCATTTTGAGTTTGAGCTTGATGGTTAAGAGTTCATTTTTGCTGCTACTTGCTACAATGGATTTTTGGCATGTTTTTGTTTGTGGTTTTCATCAAGTAATTGCTAATTACTAAATGCCTTGCTCTTTTAATATGCTAATCTGTTTAGGTTTCTATTTGATAAAAACAGCAAGGATTTAAGCAGGGTAGTTTATAACAACCTGTCCACAACTTGACTCGTTCTTCTTTGTATTTCTCATTTTGGGTTGTAACAGTGTTCTCTTTTCCGAAACCTGAGAAACCATGGTATGTTTTCTAAGACTAAAGGTAATTTAGTGGATAATATACGAGCTTAGGTTTCAAACAATCCCCGTGTTAGCCTAAGCAAGAGGCTGTTACTAAGTGCTTATAGGCTTATAGCTTTTTACCGAGTAAATAATGCCTACTGAGTAAGAGATAATGTTGTTTATCAACACCCTTTGACTGTTGCCAACAAAGATGCCAACCTGGTAAGAGATAATGGTTGAAGCATGTTATCCAATCAACGCCTACCCAAATCCTTTTTAACGTAAACGACCTGTAGGTTCTAATCATTTGAGTAAGCCTAGCGGTGATATAAATAAAAATGAAACAGGACCTATAAATCCCACACGGAATAGTGTTTGAGGAGGGTAAGATGTATTCAGATCCTCTATCCAAGGAGTAGGAAGGCTGATTCCATGAAGATACTGCAAAAAAGGTTTTGAGAAAACAAGTGCGATAAGAATTGTTGGTTCGGAAAGTTTGATAAAAATATGAAAGAAGAGAAAGAGAGATAATAAATAGATCAAAGAAATGAAGTTTGGAATGGTTGAAGAAAAAGTAACAAAATGATAATAATAATAATAATAATAATGATATCGTTACGACAACTTTACTTGCAATAATTGAAATAATCCGAATTATTGAAATAACCTGAAAACCCAAATGCTTATCAAACACCATTTCTATAAATAAAAATATATGTTTGACGGTATTTATTTTGTAAAAATGATCTTTATTTCATGATATTGTTGCACATTATTCGTGTGGACCTATAATCGTCTGTCGTTATCTGAGTATCTAAACGATGTCGTGTTCGGTTTTTTTTATTACTATTTTCATTTTGCAAAAAACCCATTTACTTAAAATATCCATAAAAAATATGAGAATAAAACGAAAAAAGATTACGTATCATAATCGATCAACTCGAGGTACAAAGGTGTAAAACGTGAATAAGTTTGAGTCAACAATAGTCAAATACGATGATCTAGTTGTCGCCTACAAAACACTTACTCAGTAAGTGCTTACCAGTAAAATTCAACACTATCACTTACTTATTGGGTAAGATTTTAGTTAACAAAAACGGCATCGTATGCAACAATTTACCCGGTAAGCGCTAACCGTGGTAAGAGTCATCGTCCTCACTTACCAGGTAAGACTCTTGGTCTTTGCCTTATTCTTACCAAGTTATCGGGTAAGATTTTTGGTCCTTACCATATTCATCCGGTAAGTTAATATGACTTGGTAAGCACTTATCCGGATAAGCTTTTGGTAAACGGTCCCTTTGGAAGTGCTTATCAGCTATCACTTAGCCTACGAGTGAGGCAATGAGGACCTTCCCTTATAAGAGCATGACAAAGACTGACATTTTTACCTGATAATGGTGGAAAAAGGACTTATACCCAATTAGTGCTTGCTAGTTAAAAAACGCTTGTTAACAAATTAACAATTTATTTTGATGGTTGAGAATATTATCTGATAAGTTGATCAGTGTGGTGGCTCTTGTCAGTAAGCATTTAGTAAACGACCCATTCGCTTACTAATATTAATATTTTGGAGACTTTCTAACTGCAATTTTTTTCATTACGAGAAGATGACGAATTACACGAGACAACAAAATTAAAGATGAGAAATTAATGAAGGAAAAAAAACCCCTAATCCGAAAGACAACATTTGACGGTTGAAATTTTTACTGTCCGTCAACTGACATTAAAACTCCCTAAAATCTTCATTGATACATGAACATTCTCTTTTTGGTCGTCAACCAGAATCCGTCCTCGGAATATTTACTCATGCCCATGGCTACAACTATGAAGATGAACACCATTGAAGTGAGCATGAAGGGGAGACCACATCTTGATGATGATGATGGAGTTTGATCAACGTCATCTTCCTCCATGAGGGTCTCAGCCGTTGGGCTCGATGGTCCGAGCTGACCCATGAGTTTGTTGTACTCGTCTTTGACGCAAACGGGTCCACAAGGCAAGCTAATGGAGCGGACATGAGAGTTTTGTCTTTGGTAGGTTCGAGCCATTTGGGTTTGCAAGCAGATGGGTTAGGTTTGGTTGGGTATTTATAGTATGGAACACAAGGGAACATGACAGATCACAAGTAAGATTAGGGCATGTGATGAGATCTCCTTCAAAAAAGGGTTTCTTGATTGCCAGCAAAGGCTTTAATGACTTCTCATTTGTCTAATCCCCTATCATGCATATATAATATATTATATATATATATATATATATATATATAGAGGTTGGTTATTATACAATCCTTGACATTTGTGTAACTTATACAACCCAATCTCAACCATCCATTTCATTTTATTAATATGTGATTTCCTCGAAATTTTGATTGTTTCCTAATATAAAGTATTAATCATAATTAATGAACCATATTCATCTTCCATAAATATTCAAATCGTAATAAATGAACTCTCATCATTTTCATAAATATCTCAATTTATTGGGTTGCATTGGTTGTACAAATGCGATGAGTTGTATTTGAAATAAATTCTCTCTCTCTTTCGCTCTATATTTAGTGAGTATATCTTTACGCAATAGATACCTATTGATGAATATACTTAGATAAACTGCATATTTTGATAATGTACATGCATCAATGCATATACTGATTCTACAATTTTGGAAGTTTTTTATATTTAGTACGAGAAATAATAACTAAATAAGATAATAAGAAAACAGTCAGATCATATATATAAAATCACATGTGATTTACGTGACTTTGGTCGTGATCTGAGATCATGGGCCACATTCCTATAACACCTTTATGTTAACCATTAGTGTAAAATCATGTGATTCGATCGTTTTCATGTTCTTTTATTTAGTTATTGTTCTTGTTTGAGCATCCCTCTATATACATATATGGTCAGGTTCAAGGGAAAACCACAAACAACGAAAAACTGAGGAACATCTTGGTAACAATTCAGTATGCACATGCATGGAAATTAGAAAACGTCTTCAATTACTTGTATATACATGTGTATATCTTACAAATGAATGTTTATTAAGGTGTTTCAGTTTTTTATTTTTATTTTATATCATATATCCATTGTATCTCTAGTTATATGTGTATTCAATTTGGTCGTGGATACGTTGCATCTTTCCAATATAAAATCACGAATTTCAACATTTCATCCCTTCCCGCCATGATTACCATATGACGGCACATGGCTTGTATTATACACATAATACATGTAGAATCTCAATGACTTTCTACATGGATATTATACAACCCAAAAACTAAGTTAAATATTGTATACATTACTTTTTGAGTAATAAATGCTTATAGATTGGTTTTGAGCTTGACTCCAAAGGTCAAAAGTATCATGAGGTCCCAAGTTCAAATCCGATGGGAAATAAAAATCCTCTTGTGGCCATGTAGGTTCAAATGCGGTGACTTCAGACCATCTGCAAAGCAGGTGGTCGCTCTGGGATTATTCAGCTCGCATAGCGGGTTGAATATCAAGGTTAATAAAAAAAAAGATTCTCAGTCTTTGTCATTTTACCCATTTGAGGTAGGTGATATTTGGTAAATGTTTAATGATCAGGGTTTTTGTTTTTTTTTTTTTTTACTATTAACTTATGAAAATTTTATTCTTAAACTTCTTATGAAAAATTCTTGGTTCATTTACTTTGTTGTTTGTATTTATTCGACCCCAAAATTGGATTGGATTGGATCGGAGCATATTGTTTGTGAACGAGATGGAGATCTTTGCTATGGGGCTCTAACAGATACAATTGCTCTGCTTCAGGAACGAACATGGCATGACGAGTTTAAGTTGTAGAAATCATTTTTCATTAACGACATCACAATAGCTTAGTTGGTTGTTTGTATTTTCAAAAAAAAATCTTGGGTGGATGTTCATTTGTCTCTTGCATTCTTTTTTTTTATTAACCTGGATATCCAACCCGCTATACGAGCCGACTAATCCCATGACGACCATCTACTTTGTAGATAGCCCGTAGTCACCACATTTGAACCACTGTGGCCACAAGATGATTTTTATTACTTCTTGGATTTGAACCTAGAACCTCCTGGTACTTTTGACCTTTGAAGCTAAGCTCAAACCAATCAGGCACCATCCTTGTGGTTACTCTTGCATTCTTTTGTAGCGTACACTTTGCTGGAGTGGACGTTCATGCAACGACTAAATCATCCACATAAACTACAACTCCATTTCATTTCTCTTTGAGGGTTGGGTGGGTTGATCCAGCAAAGTGTACGCTACAAAAGAGAAAGAAGCCGACCACAAGGGAAGGGCCCAACCAAGCCAAGACCGGGAAGCAACGGGGAACACCACAAGGGCAGGAAAATGGGCCTAAAACAAGCACACCATAGACCGCACCAAGAAAAACAAGAGAGCAAAGGAGCTCACACAAACAAAGAGAAACACAAACAGCTATGGGAGGTTCCAGGCAAGCCGAGCCCGGACAACATTGGGGGAGGGCTTAAAGGTCAGGCTAAGGAGCCTGGACCGGACATCATCAGTAATTGTCTTACCCACCGTAATATGCGATCTTCTTTTGTTTTTGAAGATGCGATTATTTCTTTCTTGCCACAGGTGGTAGACGGTCCCAGCAAGCACTAAGCGACGAATGATAGACCATATGGTCTTTCCTTTGGTGACTTGCTGGAACATACCAATAATATCAGCCCAGTTATCCGGGACACCATTGAGGTTCAGCTTGGCTTTTAAACCATTCCAGACTAGATTAGGGAACGGGCACTCAAAGAAAAGATGCGAATGCGAATCAGGCCCGTTCTGACAGAACGCACAGGACAGGTCGGAATGGGCCTCCCAGAACGGAAGTTTATCGTGCGTCTTGAGACGCTGCTTAAGAGCAACCCACATAATAAAGGCATGTATGGGGATGCTTTGAGAGAACCAGACTAAATGATGCCAGGAGACATCAGGCTGATTGGGACGGAGGGAGAGCCACACCTCATGAACAGAGAAAGGAGTGAGACGGCCATCCCTAGTTCTCCAGAAGAGCTTATCAGGGGTGGTCGGGGAAAGGACAGGGAGGGGAGAGACGCAGATAGAAGGGTTGGAATTGTCTCTCAGGAGAGGACACGTCCAATTGCCCTGGAAAACAATATCTCTAACAGAAGCAGAGAGAGAGAGATATTAGAGTTGAGAATACTACGGGAAGAGATTTGCCGGTAGAGGGGGCCAGCCATATGCCAGTTATCATACCAGGCAGACGTGGAAGCGCCATCACCAATCTGGGAGACAATGAAGTCTCTTATCTTTTCCCTCATACCCAGGATCTTCCTCCAGCCCCAACCAACATCACTGTGTATCGGGGCATCCCAGAAGTTACGATCTTTCAGCCTGTAGGAGTGGATCCATTTAACCCATAGCGAATCCCTATTGGTAAGGATTCGCCATGTGTGGGAGGCCATGAGGGCTAGATTCCAGCTGGCAAGGCTCTTTATACCCAGCCCGCCTTGAGATTTGGGGAGGCAGACAGTCTTCCAGGAGACCTTTGCTTTCCCCCTTTTTAGCTCACCGTGGCACCAAAGAAAGCCCCGCATGAGCTTCTCAATCTCTTTGGATATGGAAATCGGAAGCACAAAAATAAAGGCCCAATAGATCTGCATAGAGAACAGGATCGAGAGAATGAGCTGCAGTCTACCGGCAAACGAGAGGGACTTATTCTTCCAGTCATTAAGCCTGGAATTGACCTTGTCAACAAGGCTCTTACAATCCCTATGATAGAGGCGGGTGGTAATGAGAGGGACACCGAGATAACTCACCGGGAGGGAACCCTTCGGAAATTGAGTGATGGATTGAATGGACTCCTTGGTGTGCTGGCCAACATTACAATAGAAGGCCTCGCATTTGGCCAGACTCGGAAAGAGACCAGACACTCGGAAACTCATCAAGGGAATCCTTTATGACACGGGCAGAGTCACTATCACCATGACAGAATATGAGGAGATCATCAGCAAAGCTCCCCGTTGTGGTGTTCCCCGTTGCTTTCCGGTCTTAGCTTGGCTAGGCCCTTCCCTTGTGGTTGGTTTCTTTCTCTTTCTCTCTCTCTCCTCTTCCTCTCTCTCTTCTTCTCTTTCCCTCCATTTCATGCTTTCGGGATGAGGGTTGGGTGAGTTTATCCATTTATTTAAATTGGTTGAAAATCTCAACTCAACCTGCTAATTTTAGGTTGGGTTGGCAGGTTGGATCACTTTTTGACAGCTCTATGTCATGTACACATCCTCATGTAAGAGAACCCTTTTGGCATCAAATTGCTCAACGTAATAATTCTTGCAAACACTAGTAGCAATCAAACATTAAGCAGGGACGGACCTAGAAATTTTTTTATACGGTGGCACCATATAATATAATATACATCTAAAAATAATTACAAAAAATATGGTTTTTATAGTACCGATAAACAAATCCTAAACTTGTACCCGACTCGTCTTCATCTTTTGAAAACGGTCAATATATATCCAAAAATAATTACAAAAAGTATGGTTTTTATAGAATTGAGAAACAACTTCTAAATTTGTCCTCGGCGTGTCTTCATCTTTTGGAAACGATCGATGACATTTTCGTTTTTAACATTACTAAGGGATTCCTTTTCTATGGCACAAATGAGGACAGAATTCAAAAAATCATCACCAATTCGATTACGTAAATCTGTCTTGACAAGCTTCATCGCCGAAAAGCATCTTTCAACCGTAGCAGTTGCAACAGGCAAAACTAGTGTTAGTTTCAATAACCGATAGACAAAAGGATGAGAAAGATGCTTTCTTGTTGCCACCATTAATCTGGCGAGGTCGGCAATACCGTTTAAGTTGGCAAATCTGACATCATTATAAACAGAATGATAGTAGATGTCAAATTCGTGTTCAAGAATGATCCTTTCCTTGTCTTCAAAATCTCGAGGATACATCTGACTCAACTTCAATAGGCTTGATTTGTTAAACTGAGAAAACGAATTGCGTGGATTCAAAGCTGCCATATTTTGAAGCAAGTTGGTGCTTATCTCACCAAAACGATCACCAAACTCCCGGATCTGCATATCCAAAACAGTGTTGAATATATCATAGTTATAATAATGTTAATGTTCATCCTTTTTCTTAAATTTCTTGTATTAACATAAGCTTCACAATCTTATGTTTATCACAAAAGAGTAGCATTTCTCCAAATCGAGTCAATACCGAGTCTTCAAGACTCGTTCCAATCGATGAATCGAATCGATTCTCGCTGTCGCTGTGTTGTCGGCATGTCGTTGTCGCTCACTTGCACCAGATTCTTCGTCGTCGCTCACTCGCACTCGCACCAATAGTTGGTATACGTGTTTAGGGCTTTAAGCCTTAAGGCTGTTGTAGACTACAGTTGACACTTCACTTGGGTTTACTTATTTGATTAATCTATTTTTTGGGCTTTGCAGTTTGCAATTTGGAGATGTCAATTGAGCTTTGCATTTTGTTTGGGCTTTATTTTGTTTGGGTTTTAGTTGCACTGTTTGAATTTCAGGAAAATACGGTAGCACCTTCCAAAACGATACGGTAGCACCGTTAACAAACCTAAAATTTTTACCCTTCGGTGACGAAATAATACGGTGGCACGTGCCACCCATACCACCACACCAGGTCCGCCCCCTGACATTAAGCATCAACAATCTAACCATCGAACAATTTTCGGTCCCATTATCTAATCAAATGGCTTTTTGATTGATTAAGAGCACAAGTATAGCTATGGAAGGTTTTGATATAGGTAGGAACATGAGATTTTAGAACAGTTTCTGATAACATCAAAGTAAGGAGATCGACAAGCTATTGGGTATTTGTATGGCCATCATACATCAATAAGAAGTACATCAACACTAAGGGACCGTTTACCTAAACACTTGCCCAGTAAGCGTTTAACGATAAATTTCAACTTTATCGCTAACTTACCGGGTAAGATTTTAGTTTACCAAAACGATATTGTATGTAACAATTTACACGGTAATAGTTAACCGTAGTAAGAGTCGTCGCCATCACTTACCGGATAAGATTTTTGGTCCTTGTTTTCGTTCTTACTATATTCATCAGGTAAAGGAACGTGACTTAGTAAGCACTTACCCAAGTAAGCATTTTGGTAAAGAGATCTTAACATGGATATTCTGATGAAGTGTATGAAAATTGTGCATAAAATGGAAGAAAATGAATGAAATCATTAAGCCCTTGGATTGGAAGAGAGTAGAATGTACGCAAACTAGAGTTGTTTATAAACTAGACGGCTCACATAACCTTTTAAAAAACGAACTTAGACAATCTTTCTTGAAGAATAAACGAGTTTAAACCGACCCGTTAAAATAAATGGATGACTACGGGTATCTAGCCTATTTATATATGTTTTCGCTAACATATAATTGATTAACTTTAGTACTTAATAATTTTTTTAAATGAAGAACTTAGGATGAGTCGATGTTGTATGGTTGTGGGGTTGGGTTGGGTTCAAATAATAGTAACCCAATATCAACTCAATACCTACGGTTTGACAATTTTATAACTCGATTAGACATTGGGTTGTTTCGGGTTGAGTTATATCACATTGAGTTTGGTTGGGTTGATCGAGTTAGTCGGGTTTTTGAGCACCCCTAGCTCGAACCATGCTCAAACTCGAATATAGCTCGAGCTCGAACTCGAATTCGAATGAAGTTCAAACCAAACTCACCCATTGAAATTTATGAAATTTTAGGGTATTCTCTTTTAAATTTTAAAACTAAAATGTTTTATTAATATTTATAAAACTGAAGGGATGTAGTCCAAACTTTACAATCAAAAGCACAAAATTACACATTACATTCATCACCCTCTTTTTATAACATCTCATCATCATTCCTTTAAATTTTAATATCCTTATTCCAATATGGGACAACTATACCAACATTTTTATCGTTTTTTTTTTTGTTTCTTTTATTATGATTTTTAAAAAAATAATTGATTAATTTTTATAGTTAAAAAATGCATAATTTTGTTCAAATATCTAAAGTTATAAAACAATTTTATTATATTATATTTTACAAATTATATTATAAAACTGATAATATTTTAAAACTAATTATAAATAAAAATATCGAATATCTTACGAACTTTTCGAGTCAAGTATTGGGTAGCTCGACTCAACTCGTTAGTATGTCGAATCGAGCTCAAGTTTGATCCAAGCCTATTCGATCGAGTCGAGTGTTGACCGAGCTTTGACGGAGTCGATCTCAAATAGCTCACAAGTTATCTCGTATCATTTACACCCCTAACTAGACTTTCCCCTATTCTTTTAAAGTTTTTATAAAATAAAGCCCATATACTTGTCCTTGTTTTAGTGTTAATTTTTTTTTCTAGGTTATAGAATATTTGGTTGTGAATAAGAATGTGTATTAGAAAATGTCCATATTTCGTAAAATTAATATTCCTTTTAATTATCTTAAGACTATATATGTACGTCTTTTTACCATACACTCTACGTTTCTAAGACTCTGTTCTCGAACCTTGTTCACGGAAGAAAGAAAAGTAAAAAAAAAACTCGTGTTCTCGAAACTTTTTTAGGAGAGAAAGAAAAATATTCATAAGTTTCCCACCAAAACTTTCCTTCTAAATATGGGAAGAAAGAGAAGGAAATGAAATAAATTAAAACCCTTTAAAAAGATGATTAAAATTACAAAACTACCAAACATTTCATAATAAATGACATTTTTAAAGGATATATTTGTAAAAATGACATATTTCTTTTCAATTTTCTTCCATTCAAATCGTCGGGTTCGTAGAGTCGGATTTCCCGTTTACCCACAACGAGAGAGCTGCCCCCACGAGGCAGGCTCACCTATGAGCTAGACTAGAGGGAATTTCATCAATAATTGCCACCGTTTACCCACAACGGGGGAGCCGCCCCCACCATACAGGCTCACCTATGAGCTAGACCAGAAGGAATTCCATCAATAATTGCCAAATCCTAAAGGACACCAAGAATTATTTTATTTCTTTTCTTTTCCTTCCCTTTCAAAAACACAAATAAAAACACATAAATGATCATGTACCTGATGCAGACCCATACGTGAACCACTTAGATTATAACATCTGTGAAAAGTTCCCTGAACATCAACAACATTATTCGACATTATCCACAAATCTTCAATCGTACCTTCATAGATGTAAAAGATGTCACTTTATGAAAGATGCAATCGTGAGATGCCACATAAAAGAGAAAACTAAAGTGGGCATTCTGGAAGGCTATGCAACTCACTACCCTTTTCCCCAATAAATATATATGCACTTGTGTTGGCCAACACCCAGCACAACAAAGGAACACCACCAATTATATCACCACAAATCATACTTATTTCTAATCACCAATAATGCCATATACCCAATTATATATATATATATATATATATATATATATATATATATATATATATATATATATAGTAGAACATATAGGATAAGGTTACCACTTACCATAACAAAAATACCATTGAAGATGGCCGCTGCTTCCAAATTTAGCATCCAATGCCAAACTAAATCCATCAGCTTGCCTTGCAGATCACATCCCACCACTCTTCGGATCGAAGAACTGCTCAACAGGATCAAAACAACATCAGCATCATCATCATCATCCAGGCCATCTGCAGAGATCATAACCAGTGGATTATCCCAGCTGACAGAATTGTATAAATGTATGGACGATCTTCTAAATTCATCAACCATTCGCGTTTTGATGGCTCGCCAACAAAACGAGAAATGGGTTGATGATCTAATTGACGAATCGGTCAAATTCTTGGATATTTGTGGCAGTATTTGGGATATGCTGTCGCAGATCAAAGAGCAGATTAGAGATCTTCAGTGTGCTCTACGAAGGAGAAACGGAGAATTGAGCAGTGAAAATGGCATCGCGAAATATGTTTGTTTCAGAAAGAAGATGAAGAAAGATGTTAAAGGGTTGGTTGCAAGTTTGAAGCAAGTTGAGAACATGACCAGTGGCGTTTCGGTGGTGGTTGATTCAGATAGCCACCAGCTTGCGGCGGTGATGAAGGCAGTATTAGGAGTTGGTGAAATGACCATTTCGGTTTTCGAGTCTTTGTTGATGTTCTTCTCTATGCCTGCAGTTTCAAAGACAAACAGATGGTCTTTTGTGGTATCAAAGTTGATACACAAAGGGATGGTGGCATGTGAAGGTCAACAAAAACAAGGAACTGTGAATGAATTGGAAAGAATTGATGCAGCATTGCAAAGCTTGTGTAAATACAGATCATCTAGTGAAGGGGGAAATGTGCAGACTGCACAAAGTAGATTGGAGCTATTGGGAGCTCAGATCGACAGCATGGACAGTGGGTTGGAGTGCATGTTTAGGTGCTTGGTTCGAACGAGAGCTAGTCTTCTCAATATCATCTCCCAGTAATCATCAATTCATAACCTTGATAAAGGTCAAGTCTTGGGCTCTTTTGTCATCAACTTGAGTCTCCTCAAGGCCACTGGGAACTTTCCTGATCGTTATCTTCAGGGGTCCAATGGAATTAGTTGAGATGCGCGTAAGCTGGTTAGAAAGCTGGTCTGGACATCCACTGTTAAAAGAAAAATCAAGAAGTCGTCTCTATAGTCAAGAAGTCCTGCATAGGCATCAAAACTTTTAGCTGATATGCTTATGCTTTCAAATTTTAATTTAAATAGAGCATGCACATTGACCAGAACCTGTAGTTATGCAAGTATAAACATACAACTTTAATATTTATTTGGGTAACTACGGTACACGGGCCAACTTACGCATACTGACTAATCCTCGGACGACCATAAATGGGCTGGTGGCATCCCAGGTGAACCTCCATGGACACAAGGGCTTTGACAGTGTCTAAGGAAAGATGAGATTTGCACTACATCCCCTTCGCCTTGACTAATGCGCCACAGCCCAAGTGGTTTATATAAGTCTTATTTTTTGGCATGATTTTGACTTTTGATCCTGCCAAAAATGCCAATGTTCTTTACGAGGAACCAAATATATGACTAGACAAACTCTTCAAGTATAAATTAATCTTCCCTCAAAATATGTCTTCCTATCATTTACTAAAATCTATCTAGTGTGCCTTAGTGCATACAACCCTCCAATTCTACAGAAAACATCAAGGGAAGGCCCTAGTTCACCAATAATCTAGATTTGCAAGTAGACCCTTTTTCAGTTTCCAAAGAAAAACTACAAACGGAGATAACGTAAACAAATAGAATCTCATCTTTTTGTATTTTTAGACCCAATATGCCACATCTTAAAGGACGTTTTTGGTCCATCTGTCGACACATTACTATAAACAGTTTAAGAGTAAGATTCGAATTTAATATCTTTAGTCCATCATTTCAAGTAGACCCTCTTCAGTCTTTATGACAAGTAACCTTACAAGGCTCGTCACAAGAGAAAAGAAAAACCAAGAAACGAAAATTTAGACCCAAAATGCCATCGGAGAGGATGTTTTTGGTCCATCTGCGGTCTGTTGATGCATTCATTGTATAATTAAGATTCAAATTTAAGACCTTTAATCTATGCATAAATTTGTAACCACAAATAGCAAGCAGAATTAGTCTGAGAGATATTTGGGCAAGAAGTTGATTACTGGCAACTCTAACTGGCTCCACACGGAACCTGCCTTCAAGGACACCAATGTGGGGGGCATTTTTTTGACTCACTCAGGCTGAAGCTAACGGGGGACCTGGGATCGAACCCATAACCTGTCTTGTATTTGGGCAAAGTCATCCCACCCTTTTGCCAACTGAGTTATATGCAGAGGCAGTCAGTCAAAGGGATATTAGTTCCAGCAAAGCAGTAGAGCGGAAGTCAATACAATCAAATAAAGTATAAGATCTAAAAGCTGTCGTTAAGAACCGAAAAGAAACAGAGGTGAGACAACCTAAGCATGCACAATTATATATTCAACCTTGTCATTTTGCTAAAGGTTCATCTCCTCATTCTCAGGCAACTGTTTCCGAGGCAGCTGCCTTAACCTTAATGGTTCCATAAAATGGGCTCCAATAATCGATTACGACCCTACAAAATAAGGGTTGGGAATGGAGGTTTGGACCATTGCAGAAATTTATGGATACCCCAACAGCACAAAAGCTTCAAACCTTGTGGGGGCAACACGTGGGTATAGCCCCATGCGTGGACCAGACAGATAGGTCTTCACTATATATGCACACATGTAGAAAGATCTTTCTTTTGCGAAAGATACAATCTTTGAATGCCACGTATATGTGAAAGGTTGTTTGCCCATAACTAAATAAATTGGCATTATCATTGGGGAAGATGTTGCGTTGGCCAAACACCCGACACACGAAACAAAACCCCATGCGGTCATCACATGTGAATGGTTTATGTTCTACCCCACTCACCCATAAACTTACGTGGGAAGCTACTTTAAAAAATGATATCTGAGACCCGATAAGCAAATATAAATAGCAGAGCATAAAAGTTAAACTTACCATCATCTCAATTCTCAAAACACCTGAGGTTCCCAATAAGAAAAATGTCTGTTTCTTCAAAATTTACCATTAGATGCCAAGTTAAATCCATTAGCTTGCCTTGCAGATCACATCCAAGCACTCTTCGGATCGAACAAGAGCTCAATGCAGCCAAAACGAACGCTATGGTGGCCAAGGCATCTGCAGAGACCATTTGCAGTGGTTTGTCTCAGCTGATGTTGCTCTACAAATGTATGGAGGATCTTCTAAATGCGTCTGCCACTCAAGTTTTGATCGCTCGCCAGAAAAACGTGAAGTTCGTTGAAGATCTAATAGACGAATCAATGAAATTCTTGGATGTTTGTGGCAGCATAGGAGACATGGTGACACAGATGAAAGAACACATTAGAGATCTTCATTGTGCTCTTCGGAGGAGAAAGGGCGAGTTTAGCAGCGAAAACAGCATAATGAAATACAATTGTTTCAGAAAGAAGATGAAGAAAGATATTAAAGGGTTGGTTGCAAGTTTGAAGCAAGTTGATAACATCGCCTGTGATGGCTTCTTGGTGGTGGATTCAGATCACCACCAGCTGGCAGCGGTGATCAAGGCAGTAATAGGAGTTAGTGAAATAACTGTTTCAGTTTTTGAATCTTTGTTGTCATTTTTCTCCCTGCCAATTTCAAAGCCAAACAGATGGTCTCTTGTGGTATCAAAGCTGATACACAAGGGGATGGTATCATGTGAAGATCAAGAAGAACAAGGGGTTTTGAATGAATTGGGTAGCATAGATGCTGCCCTGCAAACTCTATGTAAATATGGATCATCAACCCAATTGGACGATATTCAAATTGCAAAACGTAGATTGGAAAGAGTGTTGTCCGAGCTTGAATGCATGGAGACCAGATTGGGGTGCATGTTTAGGCACTTGATTAGAACCAGAGCCACTCTCCTCAACATCGTCTCCCAGTAAAAAAAAGCCATCGCTTCTTTAGTTCAAACTCCTGCAAGGCATAGAAAATTTTATCTGATTTGCCTATGTAATTCAAATTTTCAGTTCAATATACTTGTACATTGACCAAAACCAACAGTTATAATATAAATTATATAACATTTATATATTCATTGGGGTTACAACCACCTTAATTTATATACTAATAAAAACTTGATATTGATGTAGCCAAGGTGCACATGAAGCTAGCGGTATCCCAGGATATTGTTAACTTGGTTTGACACTGCAACCATTTCTTTCAGTCTTTTTTTCCTAGCCTCCATTTGAGATTGAGTTTTAACCATAACCCTAACTCTAATATTTGAGTTGAATTTGTATATATTCATAATTGTTAAATTTAGGATTAATTTGTTTGTATTTCTGTTATTACTTATATTTAAGGGTCTGTTTGTTAACAGCTTAATGAACTTGATGAGATTCACAGCATATTCAAATGTTTGATAGTGACTTAATGATATAAAAAAGTGGCTTATTCAGTAAGCTTCTAGGGAAGAGCTTTATTCAGAAAGCCAAAAAATTTCCAAACCTTCTCATCCCAATTAAACAGCACGCTCCTTCCATCTATGAAAACACTCTCCAAAATAAAAAATCTTCTCAATCTATACAAATAGAATAATCCACACAAACAACTTTACTTATACATAACTCAATGAAAAACCAACCAAACAACCACTAAGTTAATTTGTTTATATTTCTGTTAATAATAAATATTTGCATTATTTTGGTGATAAGTTTTTGAACGTTTCGGTCACTAACGAAATGTACTTAACCGCTTCTAAAGATGAAGAGAATAGATGTGGGAGAGAACACTCAATTTAGAAAAATGACACTGTTTATTTTTTTATATTTAAATTAAATTAAATTTTATATTCTGGTATTTATTTGGTGTTACCAGAGGGGATGTAGCTTGTCTATTCGGTGAGGTTCATCTCCTGGGACTACTGTTTTGAGGGCCAGACACACATCTCTGTCCTTAAGGGTGGTCAACTTCAATGAACGAGCTGAAGAGACGGTGGCATCGGTGAATCAGCTGGCACAGATAGAGGGGTGACAGATCTATTGTTTTTAAGGCGATATACCTATATATAATAGGGCTAGCATTCTGGGACATAATGGAGCTGATTTATGATCTATCCAGTGGCTGAAGATGGATCAGCTCACTTGAATTCTATGTTGCTAAACCCAATTGTTACGTGGACCAGTCAGATTTTAGTAATTCCTTGATCAAGAACAGTAGAACACCATTATTTATCACAATCTAGAAATCTTCAATGATACCTGCATATATGTAAAAGATGTCACTTCATGAAAGATGCAATCTTGAGATGCCACGTATAAGCATGTAAAGGGAAAACTAAATTGGCAGTCTGTAAGGCTATACACCTGACAACCATTTTGCCAATAAATATATATGGAATGGGGGACATATATAATTGGGGATAGAGTTGTGTTGGCCAAACACCTAACACAACAAAGGAAGGCCAACAATTATATTAGCAGAAATCATACTTATTTCTATATTCTAGTTACTAATATTGTCATACGCAATTATACATAGAACATAGAGATAGAGGATAAGGTTACCATAACAAAATCAGAGTTTGCCTTCTACCCACCAAGGAAGATGGCTGCTGCTTTGAAGTTTAGCATCAAATGTCAAACTAATTTAATTAGCTTGCTTTGCAGATCACATCCCACCACTCTCCAAATCTAAAAACTGCTCAACAAGATCAAAACAATAGCAAACAGCAGCATCCAGACCGTCTTCAGAGACCATCTGCAGTGGTTTATCCCAGCTGACAGGATTCTAAAAATACATGGACGATCTCCTAACTTCCTGCGTTTTGATTTCTCGCCAACAAAACGGAAAATGGGTTGATGAGCTAATAGACGAACCGGTGAAATTCTTGGATATTTGTGGCAGCACAGGGGATATGCTGCCACAAATCAAAGAGTAAAGCAGAGATCTTCATTCTGCTCTAAAAACAGAGACTTGAGCACTGAAAATAGCATCACAAAATACAATTGTTTCAGATAGAAAATGGGAAAAAAAGATCTAGAAGGTTGGTTGCAAGTTTGAAGCAGTTGATTGCATGACCTGTGGCATGGCGGCTCAATGGCGGTTGGTTCAGATAGGCACCACCTCACAGCAGTGCCAGTGATCATGGCAGTATTAAGAGTTAGCAAAATGATCATTTCAGATTTTGAATCTTTGTTGATGTTGAAGCATGCCAGTTTCAAAGCCAAACACATGGTCTGTGGTATTAAAGTTGATACGCAAAGGAACGATGGCATGTGATGCTTAACAAAAAACAAGTTGATGCATTGCAAAGCTTGTGTAAATATATATCATCGAGTGAAGGGAGAAATGTTCAGAGTGCACAATGTAGATTGGAGCGATTGGGAGCTCATATCGAAAGCATGGAGAGCAGGTTGGAGTGCATGTTTAGGTGCTCAGGTTCGAACCATGGCTGGTCTTCTCAATATCATCTCCCAGTACACATTAGGTTAGCTCAACTGGTAAGATCTCGGATTTGCTCCACAGTGGTAGCCCATTCGCCCCTCAAGGAGTCAGGGATACTGGAGGTTGCATGGCTGTTAACTTCAGAGTCCCATGGGATTAGTCGAGGTGTGTATAAGCTGTCCCAGACAGCCGCGACTATCCAAAAAAGGGTCGTGCATATGCATCAAAACTTTTAGCTGATAAGTTTATGCTTTCAAGTTTTTGTTTTTATCGCGGATGTACATAAACATATAAATCCAATTGTTTTAACATGACATGACATCTCTCTCTCTCAAAGACACATGGTATTCGTGTTGTGTAGACTTACAACCAAGCTTGATCAGGAACAAATAGATTAGTTATGCAATTTTGCACATGGAACAGTGGGGACATGAAAAAGGTACCAACTTTAAGCAGCTATAACATTTGAACCGGGCAGAATTTCAGACCTGCGACCAGTCAACCGCAACTCCGCAAGGTCTTGGACAACGCATGCACTTGGGCAAAGTGTATGCCACTTTGGCCCTGGGCCTAATTTTGACATTTAGCTCTCCGATTTTAAGTTTTCTCAAATTTACGAGTTCTAGCATTTTTGTTTTGTTTTGTGTTAAATGGTATCATGAGAAGTAAAGTATTATTCATAGTTCATCCACATACTTTCAGTATGTTAGGCATGATTTTGACTCATAAAGATTTTCATTCATGCCAGAAATGCCAATATCCTTTACAAAGAACCACATATAAGTCTAGACAAACTATTCAACAATATGTTCATTTTCCCTCCAAGTGTGTCATTCCTATCGTTTGCTAGAATGTATATAATGTGTTTTACCGACTCTTTAAGTCTAAAAGTGTCATTAGGTCCCTCCAGGGGTGGATGCAGTGTTTAAGGGTTGGGGTCCTGGGCCCCCAACAAAAATTAAGTACCAAAGCCCAAAAAAAAAATACATGTATTTTTAAAATTATGTGTATTGGGCCCCCAACCTTTGGATATCCCAGGCCCCTCGATGCTTGCTCAGTTGCCCTTGAAGACAGAAGACTTGAACGGAACGATTGATTTATTGAAAATTTGAAATCGAACGAAAACGAACCTGGGATTAACTCTTCTTCTTCATCGCCTTGCCTTCGCCTCTGCCCCTGGTTGGCCCTCTGCGGCTCTGCTTCTGCCTGCCTGCGGCCTGCCGACGCCTCACGCCCGAGTCCCGACGCCGACCGCGCTGTGTGCGCCACTGCGCCTACCGCCTCCGCCT